CCCCCCCCCCCCCTAAAAAAGAAGAATGCCCTGAACAATCGTATCTTAACGGATCGTATCTTTACTTGTTCAAAAGAGCAAGACAAAAAGCTATTAATTAAAAAAGTCATAGTTGTGTCTATCAAGAACACATAATGCCAAGCATCACTAGTCACTGTAACACTGCAGCATTGACATCTGATCACCACCATCATCACCGTCACCATTCTCATTCATGGTTAAAGGCAGATACTTGATATCAAAGAATGATGCTCTTTTATACACTCATATCATTTCATAGGTTTATAAATATTTAGGGTTTCTGGAGATACATATATGTTCAAGGACAGGTCTTGTTTCAGGTTTGTTTTGGAGGTATTTTAATGTATGCATGAGTGAGCTTAATGATGGGGTCCGGGAAATTTAATTCCTATCGCTAGGAAGGCGATCACATCATTTTCGCCTCTCAATTTTATTTCAAATATCCACCCACTCCCGCTCCCCTTGCTAATTAATTGCTGACAAGCCCCTTACGTCACAAGAGACGTAAGCAGGCAATATACTAGGCATGGGTAGAATTGGTGATGGCTGAATTGAACATTCTAAAATCCTAAATTTTGACTCATATCGCATTGCAACCATAAAGGTGTCTGGTCAAAAGACACGCAATCTTGGATACATATGGTTAGAGTTCAATCAGATATAGCTGTCAATCACAAATCCGTCCTTGCGACTAATTCCAACTAATATCTGCGATGTTTATAATATTCCGATGATTATTATCATTATTGATATATATATTTGATATAGCGGCATCTATCCGCAGCTGAATACAAGAGTTAATCCATGGCCAAGGGATTGGACAATAGATGGATGGATGGATGGACGGACGGATGGACGGCGAATTTAAAATATATATATATATACCTATTTCAGAAATCGTTGTCGCAYCAAAAGCCTAAAGCAACAAGCCAAGATTGCAGAGAACGCCGGTACTTTTAGCTGTAATTACCTATAGCCACTTGCATAAACCATGAATAAATCAATTATAATTAAAAGCACCGTTGTTCTCTGGACCTTGGCTTGTTACTTGAGGCTCTTGGTGCGACAACGATCTTCGAAATAGGTGTATATTGAACAGAAACATAATGCTTCGATTGAACCAGAGTTAATATTAACTCTTGTTGAACGTAGGTGATCGTGGCTGAACACACTGAAACGATCAAGCGCATTAGGATCAGAGAAATAAGTCTTTACGGTTTTCACATCATGTTGAAGTGTGTCTACAACACATGATAATTATTTTCGTAAATAATTAATTTTGATTATTATTTTTTACACGCAATCAACGATTTTATTTTTGGAAGATCTTTATCACTTTAATCGGCTTTAATATATATCTATGAATTGAATTTTAAGCCTTCTCATTCTAAATATCTCTAGAAACGAATATAATGGGGAAGTTGATTGAAAATACCATTTTTTTGCCTTTTCATAAAGAAGATATTCATTTGGAAAGGATTTATTTGCAAAACGAATTTAAACGATGGCAACAGGATGGATTTTAGGGTGTTACGAATGATTTATGTTAATTTACGATTGATTGATCTGTAAGGAGAATTGAGTAGATAGCCAATCAGGAAACGAAGTATAAGAGCCACTCGTGTCCTCATTGACTCATTTATCATAATGGCATCTGATGAAGAAATAAAAAACCAACTCTTTATGGATCTTTTTTTCTTTTTTCATAACCACGAACAACATGTTATTCAATGCAAGACTTAATCTTTTGGTTGTTTATCCATCGATGGGCAACCTGTTGCCTCAGAGACCGATTACGGCCGGCGGGAAGCCTTTTGAAAACATCTGGCTTCTTTGATAATGAATATCCGCCACTCAGTAACACCCAACCAACCAACCGTCCATCAATCACGTCGTAACACCAATCGTTGTTGTTCCTGTACTAATCAATTCACTTCTAGACATTTCTGTATAATTAAGATAATAGTTTCTTTTAGAAGAAGATTGCGACCACACGAATAATGTATATGAGTGACACATGACTATAATATTGAACCGTCTTTTTGAAGAAATTAGACTCTTAGCAAATTAATTTGGCAGTATTTGTATCGTTCTTGGAATCACCAAAAAGAATTATATTTGAAGTTTTTCTGGTAAATGTATTTATTTGCCTCGTTCTTCGATGGACATCAAGTCTGAAGCTCTTCGAGTCTGACATGACATTTATTTTGGTCTTCCCGAATGAATGAACTACGCGTACTGACCTCTGCCAGTTTGGCTGTTACGGGGCTGTTCCCAAGTGAACTATATTTCTCTAGAAAGTATTTGGATGGCTAGACTATATATGGATCCACTTCGTAGAAGCCCTTGTGTTTGAGTGTAATTTTTTCTGTGTGTTTACCGAGCTTCGTCATGGATGAAAAAGAAGTGAACGTTTCAAGCGCTCCACATAAGAGATCAAAGTCAGTGCCAGCAATGTCCCCTGCGTTCTTAAATGATTCTCAATTACAGGATCAGCCGATCGTGGGAAGGTCGAGGAGTAACACAGTCGACAGTGTTGAAAGACTAGTGCGCACGGAACGACGTGGGGCTCGGTTATCTAGCGGTGGCCTTCTACGAAATCAAAGCAAAAAGCGAAAAAACAAGGACACTTTGGTGAAGTCGCGGTCTGTTGACGTTATCGATCGAGATGAGAGGGATAACTCAAGCAGAAAGTCTAGCAACTCAAGTGAATCGAGTGTACACGAAAACGACCAAGCGTTAGTACGAGTAAGGAAGCAAGGATTCTGTTCACCAGCTGTGAATGGTGTTGTAGAAAAGTTACATATAATGGAAGAAGAAAAGGAATTCCCCAATAATATTGACTCCGATCAAACAAACTCTTCAGTAGTTTATTCAGTGAACGAAGAAAACTTTGTGGGTGATCAACAATCGAACACGACAACTATACTTCACGACGACTATGAAGCCTCGAAATTATCCGAGGATACGAAGCCATACGAAAATAATTATCCTTCAAACTCGACAGATGATGGACAAAAACAAGAAAATAATGTCCAAGAGCAACCATTTGACTTCCAAGAATCGAATACAGATATTCGAAGAAAGTCACTTCCGGTAAATGTGTCTGACTATCAACTCGATTCATATCTTGGGGATTATAACCGAGGTCACGATAGCCGTACAAGTTTGATGAACGCTTTCCAGACGAATATGAACTTTGAAAACAATTACAGGATTGTTTATAAGAAACGCTGTCAAAACAAACCATGGCGGAGGTGGCATTCTCTACCCGAATCTCTGTACAAAGTAAACGCGACAACAGCAGACAGTTGCATAGAGCAATTTCCTGCTAGAACAAGTTTAGATGAGAGAGAAATTGCAGTGTTCGTAGAACCAGTTGACCAAGGGTTACCAAATATGCAATCAAGTCAACACAAAGAAAATGAAAATTGTACATCAGAGTCTTATGAAGCAGAAGACAATGATTCGATGGTGGAAAAGCCAATTCTTAAACAACAAGATTCTTCGAATTCTGAAGAAAAGTTAGACACTAAGGACCAGGTAGAGGCCACTAAAAGATCAAGTAAAATAAAGAGATCTTTTTCACTACCTCTCAAGTTCGATATTGTCGATGAAGATGAGAGGCAAAAGAAGGAAACTGCAGAATTGAAACGTACCAAGTCTTTGAACACAGGAGTCGAGTTTGATGAAGTTTTTCCAGTTATGTTGTCTGAGCAAGCTGCTGGCTTCAAACTGGAACCTGACATTGAAAATACTGATGACAAAATACAAGAGAATGACGGAGGAGAGGAAAATGCTGTCGCACCGAAAAAAAGGAGTAGAATGAAAGGAAGGGACAGAAGAAGAGCAAAATCGTTGCCAGTTACTCTTGCTCTGGAAGAAATACCAGAAGAATCAGCAGAACAATACAGCTGCAGTGAATATGAATCCATTGAAGATATGGCCAAAAAGCATATTAATAAAGCTTTCCAAGAGCTACTGAGAAAAATCCAAAGCAGTCAGCGACCTAGGAACAAAGTGAAGAGGACACGCTCTCTTTCCACAATCAAAGAAGCCACTGCTTCAAACGAAACTTTGCACGAAATTAAGTCATGCCAAAATGACAAAGATATAACGCTAGAG